ACCCGCGTAGTCGGGGCTCAGCAGCGGTGGAAGGCCCTGGGGTAGCACAAACGCCGACTTGGCCGCCGCCCCTTCCGGCGGCGGCGCTGCTCCTGCCGGCTGCACCGGGAGAGCGCCCTCGCTGCCCTCCTGCGGCTGCTGCTGCTGCTGCCGCGCTGCCTCAGCTGCTGCTGCCGCAGGCATCTGCTGCCCCCGCTCCGGCCTCCCCAGCGGGCTGCCCGGGGGCAGCGCGGCAGTGCTGCCGCCGCCGCTGGCCAGGTGGGCAGGCATGGTCTCTGCCCGCCGCACGCCCGGCGGCAAGCCCTGCGCAGCTCCCAGCAGCCCGCCACCCCCTACCGCAGGGCTGCTGCCCAGCGGCGGCGTGATGAAGCCGCTGCCTGCACCCAGCGAGGTGCCCAGCAAGCCAGGCACGCTGCCGACGCTCACGCCCAGGCTGCTGGCCGCGCTGCCGCTGTTGGGGAGCGGCCCCGCCAGGTGGGCGGATGCGGCTGGAGGCGCGGGGATGGCCTTGGGAGAGGTTTGGTGGGACCCGGGGCGGGAGCCGTGGCGGGACCCATGGCGCGACTGCACCACAGCCTGCGGGATCGCGGCGGGCATCTGCAGCAGGGCAGGGGGCAGTGGGGGAAGTGAGCAGTGAGGCAGCACTCTGACCATGTCGGCAAGGGCCTGAGCCTCGCCGGCATGGTGCGCCTGACGCTTCCAGCAGCAGAAGGCAGCGCAGGCAGGCTCCTGCAGCCTCCCAACCACCCACCCACCCAGGAAGCCAGCCCACCTGGACCTTGCGCGACTGCATCCACTTGGCATCGATGAAGCTCTCCAGAGACTGCACCTCCGCGGCAGACGGACCTGCAGCACACATGCCCCGCACGCAGGGCACAGAATGAAGGCACACGCGCGACGGGCGCCGCAGGGCAGAACAGAATGGGGGCATTGGCAGCAATCGGGTTGCCACCTGGCTGGCACCCAAGCTCACCTTTGGCCGGCGAGGGATCCAGGCTTGGCGGGGTTGACCCTCTGGGCCCGCCACCCTGCTTGCCGGGGCTGGCAAATGGGCCGCCGCCGGCACCGCTCGAATCGGCGCCGTCCTGGCTGCCGTCGCGCTGCTTCTGCGTCATCTTGCGCCGCATGTTCTGCACCTTGCTGGCCCCCCAGCCCTTCCACCCCCGCTGCTTTGCCTGCCGCTGCTCCCCTGTCGCCGCCACAAGAGCCAGCGCCTGCCCATCCGGGCCTGCCTCACTGCCTCCGCCGCCGCCGGCATCCTCAGCAGCCGCAGGACCATGTGAGCCTGCGCCTCCTGGCGGCGCCTGCTCAGCATACTCCAGGATACTGCGGTCCCGCATGGCTTCGCAGTACGCCCCATACATGGCCTCCACCGCACGCAGCTTCTCCGCATCCTGGCACCACCACCCCAGCGCGTGCAGCCACTGCTGCTTGGAGGCGGGGTCGTCTGCGGGCGGGGCGGAGCAGGGAAGGCAGGCAGCAGCAGCATGCAGGGATGAGGAGCAGCTAGTGCACAGCCAAAACGCAGCCAGCTGGCAAAGACCCTTTGCCTCCAACAAAGTTGGTCGGTTGTCCAGACAGCTCCATGCTCTGCGGGGCCAGCACCACAGGCCAGCCGCCTGCTGCGCCTCACCTGCCCACAGGTAGAAGGCGGGCTCCCCCTCCAGCAGCTTCCACCTGGGGTGGCTGATCAGCAGCGGCGCGCGGCGGATGAACTCGCTGCGCCCCCGCAGCCCATCCGCCACGAGCTCCACCAGGCAGCCATCCAGCGGGATGCCGACCTTGGTGGGGGGCACGAGCTCGGCAGCAGGCTCGGCTGGCCCCGCGCCAGCACCTGCTGCTGCTGCTGCAGAGGGCGAGGCCGCGTCTGGCACACCCTCGCCCGCCGCTCCCCGCTTGCCTTGCTGCCCGGGCTGCTCAGGCGCGCCACGGCCCGGCGAGGGCGGCTTGGCGCCGGGCGGCGGCAGGATGGGCCGCAGCACCAGCGTGCCCTGCGCCAGGCTGGCCTCCCACGCCCTGAAGCTGCCCTGGGTGGGGTCGCTGGTGGGAGGCCAGTTGCCTACCGTGTCCTCCCGCCGCCAGAGCGAGGCGGGCGAGGAATAGACGATGCCGCTGAACTCGCCCCCACACGCAATGGCATGCGGCAGCGTGGGGCCCGGCGCCGTGGCGGTGTTGCCGCTGCCGTGCGCGGCAGGCACGCGCCTCCGCCCATGCCGCGGCGGCCGCAGCTGCCCCACCGTGGGGCCGTGGGCATGCTGGCTGCTGGACTTGGGGTGGGTGAGGCGGTAGAAGGCGAGGGCCTGCGACAACACATTGCACAACACATGCGGGCAGAACGAGATGGGAGGAAGGCGGGCTGGAACAGCACTAAAGCACACCCCCAGCTGGTTGCTTGCGGATTCAAAGTGCTGAGTTGTGCCCGGCATCGACCTGTCCACCTGATACCACTGCTGCTTGCTGCGTCGCCCAGGGGGCAACTCACCAGCGCTCCTGCCGCGCCGGCCAGGCCAAGCAGAACGCCCGCCACCAGCGTCAGCACCGACGCCAGCAGGCCGGTGGGGAAGAGCATCGCTGGCAACGAGTGCAGCAGGTACACACCACATGCCACCCTGCACATGAGACCGCACCGCAGCAGCAAGTGTCCAGTTTTGGCGGTGCTGACCGAGGCCGCCCCGACGGGGCCTGCTGCTCTTCAGCGCCAGCCCTTGTTGTTCCACGCTGGGTCACCCGACTCACCCCAGCACCAGGAGAGCGCCAGCCTCGATAGCCTGCTGCTGAGAAGGGGCGGGCGAAGCGGTTGGGGCAGCCCTGGGCTCGCCGGCAGCTGCTCTCGACATGGTCTCGACACCCGGCCTAGGTCAGGGGCGAGTAGAGAGGGAAGCAGGGGACTAGGGCTGCGCCACGGCTTGGCACCACCGCGCTTCTCGATGGCAGCCCATGTCTGGGAGCTGGCCCTCCCTGATCGGGATCCTAATGCGCAAGGGTGCACACTTGTGCAATGGGAGGCTGAAATGGAGTGCTGTTTTGACCCGCCCGCCAGCTCAGCTTTCAGGTGCTGCCTGTTTGTGGGGGGCTTACAAGCACGCTGAATCGTCGGATCTCCCTCCTGTCACCTGGACTGGGTTCGCAGGCGCTGTGGCTCCAGCCACGCAAAACACCCGATCAGCGAGCGCAAGGATGGGCAGCAGGGGCTAGCAGGGTGCAGGTGCTGCCATGGGGGATCGCACGCGCTTCTCATGCTCCGCCTTCTCGCCGGCAGCCGCCCGGCAGACTTCGGTGTGCTTGTGGCGCAACCGGGAGACCGGTGACCACCGCCTGGTGACCTCCATATCCACCAGGCAAGCCACAGGCACCGCTTGGCCCCGGCGGGGCGGGCGCAGGGGTGCGACTGCCGCCGCCGCCGCCCGCCAGCCGCCGTGCGCCGCCTGCTGGCCTCCGCACTCACACTTGCCTGCCTCCCATGGGCCGTGCAGGAAGAGCACGGAGGTGCTGCGCATCAATCTGCGCACGGGAAGGCTGGAGCTGGAGAATGATGCCATCGCAGAGAGCTCGTATGCAAATGAGGTGCGGCGGAGCTGTAGCTGGCGCAGATGCGCAGTGTGGTTGTGCCAGCAGCCTCCTGCCAATGCACCGTACAAGCGCATCAGTGCTTGCCTGTTTCGAACCATACCCGCGCAATGAACCCCTGCCCCGCCTGCAGAGCGAGGCGCTGATCCAGCTGCAGTGCCGCGGCTTTGAGCTGGTCGAGCGCGGCTGCGCGCTGCTGGGCTTTGTGGCGGCGGGTCCCGCAGCGGGGGTGCTGCTGGCCACGCGGGTGCGGGAGAAGGCGGTGCTGCCAGGAGGGCATACCGTGTATGCAGTGACCGACAGCCAGTGGCTCATCGTGCCGCTGCAGGTGGGCGAGGGGGCTGGGAGGGGGCAGGGTTGGCTGGTG